GATTTTCTTTTGTTTTGCCTTTCTGTTGACTTGCTGCCTTCTGAGTGGTCATTACTGTATTGCATTACTGAGTCACATGAGGAATAATTTTGGTCTGAGATGTATGTTTAATGGAGGTCATGGAAATAAGCTGTCAAGATCACATAGTAATCTAATTTGAAGGTGTTCTACATCCAGATGATACTTCCGTGAAATTCACAAAGAGAAAGATGACAGATTGAAGCTTTGTCGCGTCTTATTTTTCATGCTGAAGAAATGAGGGAAAAAGCCTGCAGAGTTTAGCAAATTATATTTTCAAGATAAGACGTGTAGTTTAAAAAAAAAAAAAACAGTCTGACAACAGTCAAATACGTCGATAAGGGAACTAATTTACCCAATCAACACTCGTTTATTAAAAGTGTAGGTTACTTAATAATTGAAGACCAAAGACATTTTATTGAAGCCTTTGAAAAGATACGGAATCTAAGCAATTTCAAAAGTCAGCGAAGAACCAGTAGAGACAAAAGTCTGTGCTTTTAGTTTTTTTAAAAACAAGATATATCTTTTTATGTTTCACTGTGCTATAGCTCACAGTGCCGCCAGAGAGTCACGACATTTGATGTATGTTTCATCATAACGTTTTTTGTCATGGACTGCAATAAGGGCATCCCCGTATGGGAAACTGCAGATGAATCACTTCGTCAAATAAACGATGGGACTGCACTTTAATCAGCCTTTCAACAGAGTAAACACCGTGCTCTTTACACCGGCATAACCAGGGTCTTGGCCATTATATTTAACTTCTGTTTCTCTCCATTCTCCTCATCAGACCTTGATGTTCATTCTAGACATCTTCAGTAAACTGGATGCAATGTTGGATTGGTGTTACAGTACTTCCAAATGATTTCCAAATATATCGGGAATTAGATTCATTTTTGCACATGCTGAAAACGTGACATCTCCGGCAATAGCGCACACATGCTATGAATTCAGCAGGCTGTTGCACCAGATATCTATAGTTCATTAGCGGCGCGATTAAGCTGTAATATATTAGACGAAGCGGCTTTGGAGAGACTACTGCCGTGAATAAAAGTGCAGCTGCAGCTTTCCCTTCCCCACTATTAACCACTGAACGTGCAGCGGCCGGTGATTCATAAAAAAAGAAAACATACTGGTAAATACAATTCTGGAATATGCCCAATTTCCTGTTCAAAAATAGCTTCAAATGAGCTTTCAAAAATATTGACAGATAACATGTCTAATCTCTCTGAGGTTTAGCTCTTTAAGCGATCAATAACGACTGATAAAGTCCCTGCATATTAATTAGAGACACTACACTTTTTCCCCTTAGATGAGCCTGGTTGTTGTACATTTATCTGTTTGTACATTTCATGTTTTATTGTAGATGAAGAACATATTTCCGTTTTACATCATAGTCATGGATCCAAACGTTATTGTTTTGGTGTTATTTTATAGACAACTGCGTTTACAGTGGATTCCACAATATGCTGAGTGTTTCTCTTAATTCTGCTTCGGAATTCATGGAAAGGAAGGGGAGCTGACAGTGTTACATACGACTCCCACATAGCGACAGCCAGACCTTACCGGCCCCTTTCTCATCCCGGGAGCGAAAAGCAGCGACCTGCCTGGTTGTAACGATTTGCCATCGCGATTCCACACACGGCCGGTGTTCAGCCGACGTCGTTATTGTCAAATCGCCCGAAGGGTGTCGTAGGAGCTCTGCTCATCAACAGCGCTTTTAATTAAAAAAAAAAGAAGACATTTGTCTGCGAGAAGCAGCTTCTGGTGGTTTGTGGAATTGATCATATTTATCTTGGAAGTCCTGAGTCCCTTTTATTCTCCACTGAGTTAACGACTACGCCGTCTCCCTTTAGAATAAGTTGAAAAATGTTGTCATCTGTACATTGCCATATATATATTTTCTTTTTATGGACAGTGTACCACGTGCGGTACGTGCCACACAGTAAGCTATATTTCTTTTATAGCAATCTCCAACTGGCATTCTTGAAATGAACACAAAATGTCTTTTTTTAAGCTTTTTTTGTGATTATTGGATAGGCAGTGTGATGTAAAATTCTTGTTTAATATTGGAATTATATATGTGTGTTTGTTTACCAGATCAATTTGGTTTGCAGTTATCTGGGTTTTGCATTAGTCTATATTTCTCTGCTGCTTGTTTCAGTGCCATTATGAACGCGCATGTTTCTTTACAGGACATCAGTAGTCCTTCTAATTACACCTAACGGTGCTGGTCCCTCTGATCTACAAGGAGTTGCAGTTTACATATTAATGAGAAATCGCCATACATCCCGTTGTACTGCTGCTGCAGTAAATTTGAACAGCGCATGTGCAATCCCACAGCTGCGGTTGCTGACTCTCTAACTACTGCACCCCCTAACGTTCGAAATGCGATCTACCGACCACCATAAATCCGTGTTTCTTCTGGCAAATAAGCAAATAATATCAGCCACTGTCTAGTGCGAAGTGTGTGTGCGTGTGTGTGTGAATGAAACGTTTAACGTGGACACTTTGCTCGGCAGAGTATTACTAATTACAGAAGAATAAAAAAAAAATAGGCTACTGTTATTACAGGCTGAATGAAGGGAGCCGGAAAAAGCAAACGGGGGGAAATAAAGTCATAAAAACAACAGTAATCGTTAAAGCAAGTGTTCATCAGAGCAGCAGCGATGAGTATTTTTAGCTGCTGCTTGGGCCTTTAACCTTCTCGGTGTTGCTGAAGGGTCTGAGATGCCAGTGCTGTGCCTGTGCGATTCAGTCATTGTTTTAAACGAGAGCGCATTCACACGTATTCTCTGAAATGTGGAGAGGAGTCGCGTTATTCCCTATAAGGCACTTCGCTTTGCTTAAAATTAAGGGTGCTTTTCGTGATGTGAGAAAGTCTGGCTTGATGTACACGGCTAAACATACGTTGTTCGCGTTTAACGCGCCAGAAGCGGAAACGGAATCTTATCGCAATTTCTCGTCAATAAACATACAGTATTAGGAGGCTCACAGCTTTCGCTCATGTTTCGCGGTTATAAATAAATCCTGGGCTATTTGCAGTTTTGGGAGAAAAAAGTAGATCAGAAATACGGTTTGTTTTGAAGTATTGGAAGTAATATTTTATATTTTACTAAAAATAAATATGGAATCTCTTAGTTGTGACAGTCACTCCTAATTCATAATGTGTGTATTTTCCTCTTTTTTACTCCCACGGACGCAGATGAGTGTAAATCTTAGCGCTCCACGGAAACACGTGTAAAACTTAGAGACTGCAGTGTGGAGATTAACTTCACTGCCTTGCTGTGCATTAATATAATCCAAAGCATATATTATTGTGTAAATGTGTGTGTCAGGCAGCACAGGGAGGGAAATGGATTAGTGTGTACAGCAATGAGCATTTTGCATCACAAGTTATAACCCCTAATTCCCAAACTGTAACAGACGGCACAGTCGCAAACAGACTGAGAGGACTCGAGGTTTAATTGGACACCCTCCGTAAAACAACCAGAAAGGAACAGGCAAAATCACGGTCGAGAGTCCGTAATCCAAAGGGTCCAAATCCGGGGAGAGCAGTCCGGAGATGAACATCGTGGAGAGGATGGGCTGCAGGAGGGCAGGGGAGGCAAGGCAGATCGCAGCTAGACTGGAGACACAGGAAAGAACACTCAGCACCCCTTATGAAAGCACCCAGTAATACCACGCACCGAAAGCAGGATCCGGGGGGGCTTAAGTCCGGTGCAGTCGGCTGTTATACATTCTCACGAGGCGGAGGTGTGACACAAACCAGGAGTTCATGCAGTTTTTAGTCTATAAACTCGAAAATACTGGCTCCATCCATTCGCCCATCCATCCATCCATCCATATTCTAACCACTTTTCCTTGTGAGGGTTATGGGGCCTGGAGCCTATCTCAGACAGCACAGGGCCCAAGGCTGGGACACACCCTGGATGGGATGCTAGCCCATCACTGGCTACATGCTTTCAACACTGTTGGAAATCTAGAGATTCCGATTCTCCTAACTTCCTCATTTTGGAACTGCAAAAGGAACTTGGAGTGTCTGGCAGAAATCCAAGAGAAGATAAAATTCCACATATTCAGAGCCTGGGGCCAGGGATCAAACCCACAGCCCTGGAGGGGTGAAGCTACAGCACTAACCACTGAGCCTGCAAGCTGCAGTGGACAAGATCTAAGATGAAAATATAAGACTCTTGCATCACTTACTTAACCCTTCAATACGTACAAATACTAAAAATTTGAGGAGAGCTTGGGTATGTGCAAGGTGGGTGTGGTGATCCTGTATTCAGCCTGCTGTTGCTTTTCTCTGGAGCCTTTAGACTTTGTGGCAGGAACAGATTTACAGCCTGTACTGTATAATCGAGTGTTTGAACACACCCACCTGCCTAGATATCAACTGCACATCAGTGCCCACAAGATGAATTTTAATTAGAAACTGGGACATTTAACACAAACATTTTTGTTTTTTAATGATGTGGCCAACAATGGTGACTAAATATGGTGACTAAATTGCTGAGATTAGTTTAATTTACTCACACAGGTGACTCATATGTGAATGTCTGCCCTTTTCCATTTAAAACTGAAATAATTAAACTGTGTTGTTAAACAAGTTGTTGTTTCCCGGCCTTTGGAAGGGGCAGTGTGTAGCTCGGCTGGTTAGCAATATGCACCCATGTCCAGAAGGTTGTGAGTTTGAATCCCACAATAAGGCCCTTAACCCCAGCTAGTCCTATGTTGATGGTTAATCCTGATCTCTGACCCCAAGCTTTCCTTACACTATGTTAAAGGAAATAAAATGTAATGGTTGACAGTTAAAAGATAGAGCTGGTGTTCACCTGGGCATCACTCTTAAAAGCCCCCTAAACATTACTGACAGATTTGTCTAAGAATGATTCATCATCCCTTGATTTCTACCAAAGATGACTGTAAACAGCATGTTTCGCCGGTCAGAAGGGAACGGCCACTCCAGATCCAAGAGGAAATCCTGCCTAGCTGCCGGTTGCTATGGATTTCTGTGAAAGGCCCTCGGAATAATGGCACGTCCCACCGCTGATGTCAGAGCTGGGAGCTGCTGAACGGGGCTGCAGCCTGTTGCTGGTGAGCATCAAACAGCCCGCTGTTCCTCCAGATGCCTGGATCCGGCTGGGGATCGCGGAGGCGGAGGCGCCCTTAACGCCAGCTCGCCTTCTCTTCCCTTCCCTGGCAGCAGTGGAGGATTTTATTCAGGACGCAGTAAGTATGTCACTTTTATTGGTGGGTTTGGTCCTTCATTCATTGTTGTCTGAGGCACGCAGTGAGTTCAGTAAATAGATGGACTGTTTTTGTAGTTCGGTTGTTTAAATTACACTTATCTGTTTTCACGAATCTGTGTAAAAGAACGCGGTTAGCAGTTCAACTTGAGTTATAGAGCTACACAGACTCTTACTGGTTTTTCTGTCACTTTGAAATGAAAGTGAGACTGAGGAAGATTTACACCGCAAGGAATTTGGAAAATGAAAGGATGGTGATCTTCCTTCAAAAAGAATAAGATAAAAATAAAAACGTTTTTAGTTAGTTTTCTCCTTCGGATTCCTGTGCCAATTATTTGAGAGATGACTGGTGCGATCAAACAGCTTCTTCACAAGTTCATTTGTATGCTCGCTCATACAGACCGAAGTGTCTTGCCGTAATATTTGACATAATGGAATTTTTCTTTCTCAGTCCCATCGGAATCGCATTTAAGCAAATCAATCGATTGTTCCATTTCATGCTTTCTACCAGCTTTTATAAAAACGCACTTTAAAACATTTTTAAAATGCAGTTTTTTGCTATCTGCAATCTGCAATATGACTCAGTGTGTGAGGTGAACGCTGTGCTGCTGTGTAGCCCCGAGAGTGATAGCTATCAGAAGGCACGATGAGAAAGATCTGAACCAAAAATAATTCATTTTTATTACTTCTGAATGACCGAGGCGATTGTTTTGCCACAGCTCTAAGAAGTGTCCCGTAATTCCGGAGTGCTCCGTTTCATATCGTTTGAACGGTTGAAGCCATTATCTTGGGAAATGTTTTTCGGCTGTATAGTCATTTATCTTCCTGGCAATTTTAAGTTATACACTCTCACTGGAATATAGTAACTACCGTCATGATGTTGTGCAGTAACTTTATCACAATGCATCCTCGCGAACACAGTACCATGCTTCAGCTATGTCCTTGAAGTGCAGCTCTGTAGTGTTGCGCTGAAGAAAATGTTTTTATGAATTTTCGATAGTATTAAAAGTCAATCGTCGAAAATATGTTGAAAAATATATAGCCTATAGTTTGACCTAGACCATAATCATTATTATTACTTCCACAAAAACACATATAAACCTATTAAATTAAGCTAAATTAATATTTACACTATTTAAGCTTGATAAACTATGCCTCTGCCTACATAACTTACGTAAGTCCACAAACACCAGCAATGAATATACTTGCTTTTTGACCAAAATATTTGACCCGACGTGTATTAAAATAGCAATTTGATTAATAATAGTGGATAACTTGCAAATTACGGAAACTAATTCAAATCCAGCATCACTATAGTTAGATTTTCCATATTCGGATTTATTTCTCTATATACTATTGCTGCAGAGCTGGCTAATAATGGGGCATTTTTATTATGAAAACAAATCGCGCCAGATTGAACAGTTATTATATGGTCTTTTTCTTTGTTCATCAGACCTTGTCTCATCATACGTCTATGTTATGTACAGGGGGAAAATGCTGAAATTAATGATCGATAAATGATAAATTAGCAAGAAGTCACCTAGTTACGACATTGTGCCGTGAATGCACTGAATGGAGTTTGAGACAAAGGTCGTGATGAGCAAACACGTCCCAGGCGCGCATGCAGACGCCCGCGTTAATGCTGAGTGCGGCTCCGGCAAAGGGGAAATGCCCAATCTGTCCGTCGGAATTCCTCAGCAGTGTGTAACAGAGGCCCTTCGAGATGTGGCCTCATTTCAGACCTAGCTGCCATGTACAAAACAGAAGAATATTCCCAATTATGTAGTTAATGAACTTATAGTCCACCCCACTAACGGCCCATTTGCTTGTGCTTAATGTGCCAACTTTCGGTCTTGCGTGTGTCTGGAAAGTACAAACTGCGGGAATCTTCCATGAGAAACTACATCACAAGCTGCCATTTTTAACACCTATATTTTCCATATTGCTTGTGTTTCATTGGAGTTCATCTGGTTGACACTGGTATGCTGTGCTTTACTTGGCCTTATGGGGCAGTGAATCGCACGGCGTTCTGTAAAATAGCCACCACAACCATGTTGCATTCCTAGATTATACACTATTTTCCCAGATTGACCATGAGCTTAAAACTGGTCAATCACAGCCTGCTGCAGACCACATTCGCACAACATTCCTCTTATTGATCCCTTCTAATATGTGATGCGAGGATCCATTTATTTGAAGGAAATGACTGTAAAAGCTCTCGCCAGCGTTAAGAAGGTGACATCACGACCCGTGCCATTTTACAGAGAGATTAGCAGACGTCTCTCCACCCGCCAAAGGACAGCCCTCCCCTTCCTGAAGTCGCCAGACAGACGGCTGAAATGCATCAGCTTATGGTCAGAGACGACAGAAAGAAGAGAACTTTGCTGGGGCCTGTTTATGGCTTTAATTCTCTGAAAATTACCTGTCAGCCAGCAGCAAATCAGCAGCAGGGTAACATGCGTATTGTCAGCCAGCAGCCAATCAGCAGCAGGGTAACATGCATATTCTAACGGGGCAGAACTCCTGCCGTCATTTAAGTATTATCTTGGACTTGGCAACAGTAAAAAGATATAAGTCATTTGTTCCTATTGGCCGCTTAATATATAGTAGAAAAATACAATTTTATAAAAATTTGTGACTGCAATCAAAAAACTAAAAGATGTATTTTGTTTGATTACTCTATGGTTAAGATTAGGGCTGGGTTGGGGTTAAGGTCGTCATTGTTGGCATTAGGGTTTTGCCTATAGAAATGAATGGACAGTCCCCACAAAGATATGAGTACGGGTCTGTGTGTGTGTGTGTGTGTGTGTGTGTTTATGTGTGTGTTTTATTGGTTTGAAGTTCCTCCACAGAGATGATCAGCCTGAACAAACGCTTCCTAAGAAGTCTCTGTACTGTTTTTTAATGTAGAATTGCAAGCGTAACAATTTGCATATTGCTTCTGAAAATTCTAAAAATGTAAAAATCCGTACAGATGGCCCTTTGTCTGATATCTGTGAAGTTTCTGGTCTGAGAAAATGTGCTTTCTGTGAATATTTATCAGTCGAACCATGAACAAACAAGCTTAAAGAACAAGGCTAAGCAGGAAATTTAAAGGAAATTAGCAAGATTTACTTTATAATGGAAAAAAAAAAATTCAGGTATCACAGAAAGTCACGTATCCGTTCTACACAAAGCAGCCAGAGTGATCCACGTAATTCATCACTGAAACATCGTGTATCGCCTCGTCCCGCACACCTCACGCCTTTTTCACGTGATCAAGTAATTTTATTTGAATGAGAAATTGCAATTATAATAGCAGCAATGAATTTTCAAGTTAGCCTAATTCGGGCTGGTTTCCTGGTTTGAGAAAATGCAGAAAAAGGAAATCCTCACAGCGCTGTCAAGCGGATAAATGCCGATGTGCTGGAAGGTGTCCCTAAAATGATAGCATTGACGGGGAACAGTAAATTGCAGCCCAAGCAGACTGGATGCTCACGCACGCTTCTGGAATTCTCCAGACCCCAATTCTAATTCCATGACTGTTGTGTCATCTGGCATTCCATCGCTAATTCTGGCATTTTTTCCGCCTCTATATCTCCATAATACAGCTAAGGTAGGTCTTTGGCAGTTATTGAAGACCTCCTACCTTTGGTTCATCTCACGTGTGTGTCTCCTTATAAGGTCTACGCCTTTAATCCGACCTATCAGCCAGAGTAGTTCTTTTTCTTTTCCGTGTTCACTCAGCCCGCAGACACAATCTATTAATGGTGACTGTGTTTCTCACAATGAATCGCTCTAGCACCTCCTCGATGCCGCTTTGATGTTCCTGCCCTCAGAGGCTCCGAATCTCTGCCGCTCTGCCCTTTATTTACGTCTGATGTCGGGGGGTCTGCCTGAATGCTCTTCACCCCGTTCGCCGCACTGACTTCCCCCTACCTGCCTGGAAACGGTGTCCGAGCTGGAGTGCTTTAATCTCCCTTCTGGGGAGTTCAGGTTCTGGAGGAAATAACTGAAATACATACATAGAAGATAAAGGGATCAGACTGCAGTGGTCTCTTTTAGGGGAGGGGAGGGGGCGTGGTCTTCCTCAAGTGAGGTGAAGTCAGGCAACGGCCTTTCGCTCACCAGTTGCCAGCCATTTAGGATACAAAGCAGTCTGGTCCTTCCTCCAGCATCTCTGACAGCTAGACTTTGGCAGACTTTCCGAAATGAAGAATCTGTTTTGTGGCTGTGTCTTTACCCCCTGATAAAACCAAAACAGCCACCATCTGTTTGTTTCACCCCCTTCCAAGGGTGATTCTAGGATTGTTTAATGATGGGGGACATGAGAGGCCGTAGTTCATAAAATGCCCGACCGTATTATTGGCCAATGATATGTTTAGAATCGGTGAATGACAGGGGAGGGAGCACCCCGGGGGCCAATCGGCTTTTAGCCGGGGCCAGTGCACCTGGCCCCACCCCTGTATACAGCCCTGCCCCCTTCAATGTAAAAGTCCTACAAATTTCAAGTCCAAATCAAGTCCTGGTCGCACGTCACATGATCTGTTTGCCTTCACAGGAAATTTTACAGGATAGCATTTGTTAGTATGCAAAAAGGTAACAATTATGTAAAACAGTAATGAAAATATAATATTATAATGTCAATTTTTTAAAATGCATTTAAAAGTCTTCATCGAAGAGGGAACAGTCCTGGGGAACTCAGTGCCTCAGCGGAAATTAAACTACAGGACTGTACACAACAAAAGAGCCCCTGTTGTTGTGAGGATTTGTACAGGACCCTAGCCGGTCAGTGAGAGGTAGACGCTGAACACAGAGCAAGCAGGAAGTAGCACCTCAGGCTGCCCTGCCGTGTGTTGGGGGGTGGGATCTGAAGACAGCCTGCAGTGAGGATCTCCCGGTAACCGCTGTCTCCAGTCAGAGGCTTCTGTTTGTTTGTGGGACATTAGAACCGCAATTTTGGTCCTCTGCGATTTCACTTGCTGTCTGTTTGTTTGGCTTTGC